GAGATGCGCGTGTTCCGGGACGCAGCATGAGCGTGAACTATCAGATTCTCTGTTACTTCATGCTGGGTGTGCTTTGTAATGCCACAATCAGAGGGATAATATACTTTAACAAAACACCCAAATTCCCGCCCGTCATCATGACAGCACCAAATGCGGTTAATGGTAAGTAAATGCGTGCTGCCTTTCGATTATTGCAACATTGTATTTGGAAAACCGTTTGCTGGGACGGAGCCCTCGCCTTTGTCTCGCCTTTGTCCCAACTGCTGATAGTTGACATTTATTGTTGATTACCTGCAGCAGATTAATCGCTCTTAATTTAACCTCGTCACTCTTACAGAAGGAAGAAACAAAAACAGCATCGCTAGATGGAATTATTCAAAACTGCGCGAAGGCATATCTAGGTGTTTTCATATGTATGCAGTAAGCAACTTAAGAAGGAGTGGGTATTAGAAGCAGATACTAGCATTTCTACATTATGGGTTGCAGTAATGTTTTGACACCACCGATGTGGTAGCGTGGATATCTGATATTCGTTTTGCTTTCCCGAAAATCAGCACCGCGCAACCTACGAACACTTTGCCGGAAATCGGTATACCACGAAAGACCTGGAGACATTTAAAGGATTAGAACAATACGGCGGGGTCACTAGTGAAGACCAATACCGTTGCGCTGCCAGTAGGTGAGCCTGTTTTATTAGTAAATCCTTGCTGACTCTGTCGGTTGTGCCATAGGTGCGTCGAGAACGTCTCCCATATGTCCTTTTTTCTACTGAAGTTTGTGCGACTGCAAGAAGATGATGGAACAATGACGGAGTAAAGAGCAAGCCGAATCTTCAGTATTTGGTCAGCAAAAAGGGGCAATGGGAGAAAATACCTAGTTTTTGCTTCTATCTAGTTGTTAAAGTTGCACACACTTCTGCTCATTTCACTCTAGACGTGGATGAGCCGAAATTTTGAGTACGTCTTCTTGGCTCGCCTTATTTTTAATGGTTACATATTTTATGATTTTGTTTTGTTTTAGTTTCTAGACCCTTCCCAAATCCTCGTATTCTCTGCTATGTGAATACAATCCCTGCGACCTACCTTACCAAAGCTCAACACGTTAACCGCACATGGGCTCGTCGTTGCACAAAGGTTTTATTTTTCAGCAGCAAAGCGGAAGACACGATTCCGGTGATTAGTAAGTCAAGAAAAAGTGGTTTTTTGTTAAACGCTGCTTTGCAGTAGCCTACCCTTGCATATAGTTAACTTCAAGTTGTTCTAGTCATGCACGTGCCCACACAAACGTGATTCACCTGCAAGTACACAACTTCAATGCAAGAGCTGAGCTTGTTTTTGTTGCTTGTTAAATTTCTATTAGGTCTCATTCGAGATAGATATACTTTGACCGCCTCCCCACCACAACAATACAACAAGGATTAAAAATCCCCGGTTAATAGAAATCTGCCGCGCAGTGCCATTAAGGAATGGATACTGTTTTGGATTGCGTATCAAAAATAGTCCAGTGGTGTCTTCCAGCCTTTCAAGTTTAAACTGTAGTCACTTAACACGCAGTTGTTTCCTTATAGAATATCAGATCTGATCGGTTAAAATTTGCGGAAGAGGCCCGTAACTCAGCGAAGTGTTTCTGTCTGCAAGCATAGGGTGCAGTAAATCATTCGCTAACGTACCGAATTATTAAGTAAATAATTTTTTATAATGTCATGTTCAGCATAATCACCGAGCAACATTTTCAGGATAAGTTATCTGGTAGGTTAAATCGACTTCACGGCCGTCGTAGGCACCTTCATCTGCTAGACAATAATTTCTGCCAATCTGTAAGATGCAATGTCCGTCTTAGCAGATTGCCATTCATTTTTTAAAAGAAATGCATATGCGCAGTTTATAACCAAAGAAGAGAAATAACTAATTAAGACATTCCCTAATTTCTCACTGCGTGCGCCTCCTTGACCGTAAACTGCTTGGCGTTATCGGGTGGTAGATTGCAACTCTTGATACGCCGCCAATAGATGGGCCTACAGTTGCTACAAGGTCCTCTGTGTTCCAGCCCTGCCCTGGAACCTAATGGCAACATTGCCTTTATGTTTTGACTAAATGGACTTCGTTATTTGCCACCAGGGTCTGTAGTAGCAGGTTACTCGCTGTTTTATAAGGTAATCTTCCGGACTCAGTGTTCTTTCGAGTCGACCTGTGTAATCGCGGAACACGTTGAGAAATGAAATCTGATAAATGATGCCCGGCGTCTTACTCGTGTTTAGTTGATCTTTGATCCCCACAGCTTTTGGGTGCACGACATCTTCTGCAGGCTAAGCCCACGCCAAGCTCCGTAAGAAAACATTTTTGTTGCCTTGGAGAGATTTACTGTGTTTGACGGATAATTTCAGTCTTGTTGGGCCACTCCTTCTGTGTCCTCTGTTAGCACGTATTGAGGTAACGTGTAAGGAAGCCTCTGGTAACTTTTCTTCCACATTTGGCACGTATGTACAACAGTTATCATACCTCAGGCAGACGTTTATTGTCGGAAAATACAAGGGAGGCTTAACTGGTCATTTCTGGATTATTAGACATCACCAGTCAACCATTCTACATACCTATACATTACTTCTTCCTCTTGCCACTTCAGGGCTTTACTGATCATGGATAAGGAAGAACTGAAGCACCGGAGCAATTTATTTATTGTCCTGTGCTTTTGGACTCTTATAGGAGTCCATATTCAGAGATTAAAAACAGCAAAAAAAGGGGTAGTTGAAGTGGTATACGCCAATCAACTGTCAGAGGTCATTAGAGGTAAGAAACAGCAAGCAAAAATGAGGGTGAGCAATTATAGGGGGTATGGGCGAAGTAACTGCCAGTGAAGTCAGAGTCAGAAACAGCAACAAAAATGGGGGTAATTATAGAGGGTTGTGTCAATGAACTGTCAGTGACGAACTTCCGGAAGTGACTGCGCAGGGCTCCGTACGCCGGCACCAATTCGATGCATCGGTCGATTGAGTTCCCGTCCGTGGACCAGGCTTCAAGCGATTCTCGGCTCGTCTTGTTTCCAGCGTGGGCGGGTATCGTGACGGCTGCGAAGTTGGACCCATGGCCTATTACATAGGTGTGAGCTGCAACTTACGATAATGCGTCGCCTCGCCGTACAGCCAACTTATGTTAATGTACGCGCGATCCGAGCATGCGTTCAGTTTGGCCTGTGTATTTACCAGGACACTTTAGGGCTTGGATGCGATACACTACCCCAGATTATTCATTGGGATTAAGCCGGTATTGATTTACATCACCCTGCTGCGCATAGTAACTTTGGGTTGGTGTGCCATTCTAACACTTAGTCCCGCAGCGATGCGCTCAGTCGCTTCTGGGACGTCCTTGATGTATGGCAGAGCGTATTATATCCTAGGTGGTTCTTCCGTTTGGGCCCTCCTGGGGCCGAGCACGTAGGCAGCGGCTTATAAACGTTTTGGATATCCATTCCGCATAAATTGGTCGCGGAGACATCGGGCCTCGTGTGCCTTTTCTTCCGGCCTACTGCAGTGCGTCTGAATCCGTTTTAAGAGCGTTTTCACACATACCCATTTGTGAGGAGCCGGATGATTGCTTTGAAAACTGAGAAATCGTGTTGTGTTCGTTGCCCTTCGGTAAACCGTCGTCTCAATTTTACCGTTAAACGTTCTCTGGACGAGGACATCAAGGAAAGGTAGCTGTTGCTTTTGTTCTTCTTCACTCATGAATCTTATGTCAGGAAAGAGTCCATTGAGCAAGTTATGAAAGTTTTGCAGAATAGTCTTCTTGATGATAATAAACGTGTCGTCTAAAGCAACGTTTCCCAGGTGCAAATTTAAAAATAGCAATAACAACAAAATGATTTATTGGATCCATATCACTTCGAGAGAGCTCTTCAGTTGCTGCCTCTCATTGCCTAACGTGAATCACATAAGAGAAAATACGGATTGAATTCATACAGAAAAATCGATATAAACACAAGGTCATAAGACGTAGCCAAGTAGCTAATTAATAACATAAGAAGTTTAAACGCTATGGTCAGCAAAAAACTGAAAAAAAACGTCTGAGGTAACAATTTGCGAGGAGAAATGTGTAACCAGCGAGCCAATGTTACCAAGGCAGAGTTAGGTT